ATGGTCAAACGTCAATATTATTAAATATAAATGCAACGAGAACAACAACAGCACAAAGATCCCCAAAATGACTGATGAAAAGAGCCGCGGCGGCTGTTGCTTTTTTAAACTTATATTTATTTTTTTGTTATTTTCCGTGTGTTTTAAATGCGGACGCGACATTGCGTGATGAACAAACGTCGAGCATTTCTCAATGGGATCAACGAAATGGTTTTATGGGGCAAGGGGGACGGCCCAAAGCCGAAAACCAAAATGAAATGACATGACGTGTTGTTATTAAGCCGCATAATCAAAACAAAAACAAAGACCGAATTTTTATGAATGAACAGGCGAGGAGTGGAGTTTTGGCTTGGCTGGCCTACTAGTGTCGATCCCGGAATTTCTGGCCCAAAAAGGCACTCCCCGATCGAAGAAAACAGTGGTCCAAATAGAAATTAAACAAGGTTTGGTACATTTTCTGGTAAAATCAGTAATGCAGCGACTTATATTAATATTTTAGAATTTTTTCAGACCGCTACTAATTTTAGTTCATAATAAATTACATCACACCAATTGTTTGTTAACAGAAAGAGCTTCATGGTCCAAAAGAGAATACCTTATCTAAAATAAAAAACATCTTTTTAAGTTTTACATATTAAGTGAAGTATTTAGGCCAGTTCTATGATAAGCTTTGATGAGCTAGAACAAGGATCTGTAAAATAATATTTTCACTTTAAGAGTTTTTTTTTAATTGGTAAGAAACTAATTTTGTATTATAATATATTACAAGAAAGACAGAATATACGCTACATTATGGTTTAGTATAGTTTTTAAGTATTTACCCAAATAAGCCAAAATATTTTGATCTAATCGACCAATAAATAGAATAATAGGAAGGGAAATAGACTCCAACCACTGTGCATTATCGTAAGACTCGTCGAATCGGCGTCGGCAGCATCAAGGCGATTAGCGAAAAGCGGTAAATGTTGTGTTAAACCTCAATTAAGACTGAGGACTGGGGACTGGGGTTGTGGGGATCTCAACCAGGTAGAAAGGGTCCGCCAACAGGATGTTAAACTCTTTGGGGCAATTTGAATTCGCTTTGACTGACGCCACACGCCAGGGTCAGTCAGTCAGTCAGCTCAGCACCGCTTGGAGGATTTACGATGCGATCCCCCGGATCCGAACTGCTAAATGATCTCACACAGGCGACGACGAATGGCGCCTAGAAGGAGTCGGTATGGCTTACCTACCATATACCATATACCATATATGTAGCATACACCATACACCATACACCATAATACCTTTCTGCATTTCCTCCCCGTCGCTTTGGACCCCTGTTAAGTGCTTTTTAATTTGTTTGCATTCGAAATCCGAATTCCCTCTGTTCCGCTTTTATCGGGAATCAAGTGAGCTGAGTGCAATTACGACACCTTCAAAAAGCCATCCCAGGATGCGAAGGGAGACGGAGGATATGCTCATCCTCAAGGCACTTAAGCGCATCCCCAGGGGGTTGTTCCGCCCGTCCACCCACTTTTCAGCTACTTTCCACCCACGAACCACCCACCTTCCAACCACTTCCCTTCGCTATCTGTGGGTGGTGAGTGGCAATGGCTAATTAAAATTACTTTCCAGAGCGACACTCGGAAATTTACGATCGGGCAGGGGAAAAGGGGAAAAAAGGGAGTCGGAGTCAGGGTCGGGGGTCACGTTAATGGTCAGCTGGTCAGTTTGCAGCCACTCTTAATGAGCGTCCCCAGTCATTTGCTTGGGAACGAGACCTTCTCGCACCGCCAACTGCGTATTTGTCATTTTTAATGTCTTTTTAAACCACGCGAAAGGTGAACCACACTCCATGCACCACAACGGGCTTAATGCCAGTCTTGTGGGCTTCGACTATCCTATCCGAACTGGGCTTTTGTCGGCTATATCGTTCTGAAAGTTGGTACTGGTGCTTAGTAACTCTAAAGACGGGTTAAAATTATGGTTCTGGCAATATCTGTTAAGATATAAGTTCAATTTTTCTTTAAGAACTGGGTTAAATCGTTTTGAAAATGTGTAAAGCTTTATTATGATATCAATTCTGGGGAGCTCTAATGCTAACTGGTCTTTTAATGGTAATACGCTTTTAAATTTGGAACTTGGACCTTATTAAGCAAAATCTATATACTTATATAAACTCTTTAAAGAAGATTTGTTGATAAAGGCTTTAAATAGTTAAATAATCTCTTTTAGAGTAGAGTATTTCTGTGTCGAAGCTGCAGCTGGAAAATGTTCACCGCGCTCATCTTTAATTAACTTATTTCACTGCTGTCTATTATATTTCGCTTTGTACTCGCTGAACGAGCGGCAAGTGCCGTTAGTTAGACCCCGACAAAATGGCGGACCCAGATGGAAAATGAAAATACATCGAATATCCGTGTGATTTTGGATGGCTGTGTGCGCGGGAAAGTGTCGAAAGTCAAGTTGGCTCATTAGCAGGCAAAGGGAATGCCGAAAGATAAATTATTGTCACATTTTTACGGGAATCTCATTAACGGGGTGGTGGTGGTATTTTGACATTGAGACATGGAGAGAGCTGTGACAGATGGGGAAATTACTTGAAGATGATAGGCTTATGGGAATTCCAATTAAAATTAAAACACGTGCAGTAAATGACTAATTATATTATTATACATTTACATTGTTCAAGGACACATTTAATTTATGCGAATGTATGCATTTTATTTTACAATCATTTAGCAATCACATAAATTTTGAAAAATAATTTAAATACGAATAAAAAGCCCAAAAGTATCCTGTACAGTTTTGATTACATTTATTGTATATAATATATAAATAATTATAAAAAAAAACATTGGAAAAACTAAAAAAAAGAATATGTTGCAAGAAAAATACTGTTATGAAATATATTTAATATGATAAATATTCAATTTTAATTGTACTACAAATTTGAGGTTGACAACCTCAGTTTGTTGATTTTAAATTTATAATTAACAATGGTAGACCTCTAGAAAAACAACAATCATATTTTCTTATATTTTTTCTTGGGCCCTCTGTTAAGTTTAGATGGTTTTGTTCTGGTGGTCCAAAGACTTGAATATGGTTTAAGGCGTAGGAAAAACAAATTGCAGAGGGTCGGATCCAGTGATTTCGATCACGTCTCCGTTTTCCTGCTTCAAACCGATCGTTTGTCAGGTCGTAAATGCTTGGCATATATCTATGGTTAAGTGAATATTCCTGGAAGCGTTTGGCGACAGGAACCGGGGGAAATACCAATGGCAAATAATTCCCGACAATTGCTGCCGTGAAGCCATTTTGAAAAGCTAACCAGCTGGAGCATCCGCCTCCAGGCGCCAGGGACGGCCTCCTCGCGGAGATCCTGCCCACTAGGTAGAGTGTCCCCCTTCCCATCTAAAATTGAGAACCCCTTTCCCAACCCCTGAGACCCATTCACTTGCACATTAGGCAGCAAATTGACATCGATACAAGTCCAAGAAGTAAATCCAAAGTGGCAGAAAGAGAACGCACTGCCGCGTGCGATAGAGAGGCAAGCGTACAGCATTTAACTGCTGCCAATTTACTGTTTAAATGCCAAACAAAAAGTGTTAACAAGCGCAAAAATAACAAAAGACACCAACAACAAAGTTCGGCGAGCGAGAGGGCCTGAGGCGATCCAAATGCTGGCGCGCCTTGGGCCAAAGCGAGACAGATAGATGCCGTGCAGAGTGCCTCTCGCTCACGGAACCAGTTTAAGGGGGCGTGGCCTGACCAGAAAACAGGGTTGATAGCATCCCATCCATCCATCTTGCCATCCGGCTATCTGTCCATCAGATCCAACAGATACAACAGCAAAGGCAGCAGCTGCGTTGCTGCCATAATCGTGTTGAGTTTCCGGCTGCCATAAAAAGTTTATAGCAAGTCATTGTTAGCTTATTGCTGAAACTATCCTACCCGAACTGGGCTCTCACTGGGGATATCATTCTGAAAATTGGTATTCAGTCGTTATTTCACAAATGGTTTGCTGTAGTTATGGTTTTGTGGTGATCTTTCTATAATTATTTAAAAAATTCATACATCTCCTGTGAAAGGAGCCTTTCAATAAGGCTTTAAATCTAATATTAGTATATCTGTTAAACAATGTACTAAAAACATATTGAACAATTTTTTTAAAATTTCAAAATTGTTTTTAATATGACCATTTATTTTTTTCTAAGGCCTTCACACCGTTAAACTCCTGTTTAACCCCCATTCCTATTTCAAACATTTTTGTAAATGACCTAAAATCATTCAAAATCACCCCTAAGCCGTAATTTAACCCTTATAAATACAAAAAAAGGTTTGGCTTTGCTATTAATGCATTTACTTGAAAGTCATGAATTTATTATGATTTGAGAAATTATATAATTTGAAAGATACAGATATTTTCAAAAATTTAAAAACAATTTCTGGAATTCAAGTTTGTTTTGAGATTTCTTTTGGGATTTGTAATATTAAACAAAGTTATAGAAATATAAAAAAAGTTAAGCCACATTTAGTAATTTTATAAAGCCATTGTTATTGCGTATAGAGTTTAGTTTAGTTAGTTGTGACAACCTTTAAATGGGTATTACTTGAAGTAGCCAAGTCCACCACGTGCCATAAAAATAACCGTTAGGAGTGCGGCCATTGCCGACGAAAAAGTCACCACACTTCGCACACTCGAGGGCCGCTGATTGAAGCCTAATGAATGTCAATTGCTGCCAATTACGACCAATAAATGCGGGCAATAAGTGCGGCCAGCAGGGAGTGCGAGCGAGAGGGCCCTGCGGGTCGAAAGAGAGCCAAACTCACCACACCGCAAGTTGGCCAAGACAGTGGGCGAGAAAGAGACGACGACAGGTGGCAGCTGATGAAGAGCAGAGGCTCAACTGGTTTTTGCTGCCTGGTTGTTGTTGCCGATGGTGCTGCTGTTGCTGTTGCTGTTGTTGCTGCTGCTGTTGCTGCTAGCGGTTGCTGTTGCTGCTGGCAGCAAGTTTCAGTTTCGGTCGAAAGCCAAAGGCGAGCGGTTGTTGCTCCGCTTTCAAACACACTAAAGTGCGCGCACAACAGCAGCAACATTTGCGTTAAAACTCAAGTTGAGCTTAGAGAACTGAAACGAAAAACAAAGGCAACCTAGAGCCGGCTAAGAAAACGAGTATTAGGAATTAATAAACTTGAAAAACAAACAAAAACAAAGCCATAGGCTAGAACAACACCAGTGACAGCAGCAACATTTGCTTTTAAAATCAACAGAGAAGTGCTAAAAGTGTGTTTTATTTTTTTGGGTGCAAAGTGCAGGTGCAGGTGCAGCGCAGCAGAGTCGTCGGCTAAACCACACATGACCACAATGCCACCGGAAATGTCCGCAACAACGGCAGCTCCCGTTGGCAGTGCACCGAGTGCCACCGCTCACCATCCCGCTGCCGTCGGCGGCGGACTGCCGCGTCCAGCCTCCCCGGCCGTCGGCAGCAACACCGGCACAACGGCAACGGCCACGACGGCCACGCGATCCCGCTTCATGATCACCGACATTCTGGCCGGAGCAGCGGCCGCATCGGCGGCAGCAGCAGCTGCAGCAGCGGCTCTGGCAGCCGCCTCTTCGGGGCGTGGCAGTACGCCGGACTCGGAGCGGGAACAATCACTGGTCGCCCAGCAACAGCAGCATCAGCAACATCATCATCATAATCAGCAACAGCAGCAGCAACACCAACAGCAGCAGCAACATCAGCACGCTGCCCTGCAGCAATACATTGTGCAGCAGCAGCAATTGTTGCGTTTCGAGCGTGAAAGGGAGCGGGAGCGGGAACATTATAGGGAACGGCATTCGCCACCTGGAAACAATTCCTATCCCCATCACCAGATGCCGCCCCATTTGCTAGCCCACTTTCCGCCTGCCCACTATGCTGTGCTGCAACAGCAGCAGCAACAGCAGCAGCAACAGCAGCAGCAGCAACATCCACATCCGCATCACCTGCAAATTGAGAGGGAGCGATTGGAGGCACTGCATCGACATGGTCACGGGTTACCAGGTGATCCTGGGCAACATTTGAGCCACCTGAGCCACCTGAATCACCACCAGCAGCATCATTCACATCTGCATCATCCCATACACGATGAGCGATCCCGATCGCCGCTTATGTTGCAGCAATTGGGAAATGTCAGCGGCAGCAACAACAACAACAACAGCAGTAGTGCTAACAACAATAACAACAACAGTGGTAGTGCCAACAGCAACTTAAACAGCGGCAACAGCAGCAACAACAACAACAACAACAACAATGGCAGTGGCAACGGCAACATGTTGCTCGGCGGTGCCGGCAGCAGCATCAGCGGCGATCAGGCCAGCACCATCGACGACAGCGACAGCGATGATTGTGGTAAGTTGGATTTGCACAAAGAATATGTATTTGGAATGATATTTTATTGTCTAAAGGAAAGAGCTTCAAACTTAGAATAGTACCAGAACTAGTAAATTCTAAATACACAAATGTATAAATATGGCATATATGTGCGGAATATTTAAATATGGCATATTATATATATGTTGTTTCTTGGTGTTGTTTAGGTAAAGTTATAATTAAATATGGTGTAATAGGCTAGAAGGGCAGTTAAAGAAAAAATTAAAAACTAGTTGATATATAGATTAATTATAAGGTTAAATCAATTCAAAGATGATAACCATTTTAAGGTTACAAATAAAGGATTTGGGACAAATATAGGCTTTTATAATATATAAAAATAAATAACAATACAATTCATGCATAAAAAAAATATTATAAAATTATTTAAATCACTAACATGCCCTTTGAGTCAATTAAATGTATGCCTTGCATTCATTCTTCCCAGATATTTAAAACGACTGCCGTGTTAAACAAACAGGGTGATTTAAATAGTTTTTAAAGTTTTTAGAAATTATAGGCAATCGAATCGAAACATTAAATTATAAACTATATTATTCCATTATATTTTACATTACATTTTCAAAACTTTTTATACATTTTTATATATAACATTATTATATATAAAAATAAATTTTAATATTGTATCAATACAAAAGCAAAGTATTACCTTGCTATTGATTTTGGGAACCACAGGGAAAATTGACGGTAATACATTTAAGGCTATCCCAAATACCAATTTACACCTTTCCACCTGACCCCTGACTTCGCACCACTTTAAATTTACGATTTATCCCGCGACCGAGATATATCATATATTGAGTGCTAAGCGTGGTTGGTTTTGTTGTCGTTTTTGTTGTGGCTGTTGGCTAATAGATAACGGCCAACAACAGCCACAACAGCAAAAGCAACAACAATAACAGCAACAACAACGACCGCAACAACAACCACCATAAATTGTGAGGCTCGAACGGGGAAAATGCTTGGTTGATAGGCGAAGACTCGAAAAACACAGGTGAGTCTGAGTTTTGAGGCAGGTGTCTCTGGGCCTCTCTCTCTCCTTCTCTTCCTCCCTCTCCCTCTCCCTCTATCTCGCTGTCTCTGTCGCTCTTCCCAATCCCCTCGGTTTGTTGGCCAGATTAGCCAAGTGTTTGCTTATTTTTAGCTTATTTCCCCAGTCGAAACTGTCATCGGAATACCCTTGACAGCCACGCCCCGCACAGCCGCCTCCCTCGTTTTGCATGCAACCATTTAATTGATTTTGTTGCTAGCTTTAAGTTAGCTTTTTTCTCCTCTCGTTAAGTGCTTTTAAACGTTATGCAAATTATGACAAATTACTATTAAATAGCCGTAATCGTGCGTTTTCAATTGATTTGCTGCAATGTAATTTAGAAAGGCCGAGAATACAAATATATATATATATTTAGTTTGAAGAGATTGGAAACCAGTACAAAGAGTTGTTTATTTTCCAAAATTTAAAATGGGGCACAACAGTTAGAAATCATTAAAATAACACGTATTTATGATTTTATAAAATCGCAACAAAAACGTCAATAAATTGAATTTTTATTCCATATTTAGATTGGTAAAAATTGTTTTTTTTTCAGTTGAACCTTTTTTTAATGATAAATTATAAGTCCTGACCAATTTTGTTTCAATTAAAGCTTCCCCAATTTCATGGACAATTTTCACATTTATTCTTTTTTTGACTTGTGCCAAAATCAATTAACAAATTAAACTATAACCAGAAAGCGGAGATTTCTCCCTCCAAGTGACCCCCTTCTGTTTTGACTTCCCGCTGTCAATTTTTTCCAACCAAAATTGCCTTGATTTGAGCCACAAGCCACACACACGCAAATTAATAAAAATAAAACTAAAGAAATTCAAATTAAATTTTATCTGCTGGCTGGGCAGCCGAGCAACCCACACACAGTCTCGAAAAAAATAAACACCCATTGACATTCTCGCTTTCTCTGTCCCTCTCCTTCAGAGGGCCCACGCTGAGAAAAGCTACAAAAAGCGGGATTTACTACAAATAAAAGAAGGGTATCCACTTAAACACCGAATAATTCGATACCCTAGTTTCCAAGTTATATAGGGTTTTATTAAACTTGCCCTCAATGCAATAAAAACACTAATTTTGTATCATTATGACTTTAAAAATAAGTTTAAAACGCTATTTAATCATTTGTATAAATATATTTTAAATAACTGATTTCAGAAACCGGTTAAAACTTTATGGACCTTGTTTAAATTGAAAATTTGAATTAATATAAATAAATACAAATAGTGTAAAAAGTATAAACAGAATGAGATAGCTACATGTCAACAGAAAGAGAAGGACACATATGTGCAGAAAAAGAGGGAAAGATGCATTCAACACTCGCGTGTCACTTGAGACGCGTGCGAGCGACAGTTGTTGCTTTTTCTTGCCTTACTCCCTCTTCATATTCTTTTCCACCTCCAACTCCCTCTTAGTCTTCTCCTTTATCTGCTTCTTTTTACCCTTTTTCGTACCCGTCGTGGTTTTTTTTACGAGTCTCAAGCAGCGATCCTTGCTGGCACCGCGTTTGAAATTGACCCAAAAGCTTGTTCTCTGCCCATCGAACCGTACACTGATCGAAAAAAAGGGGGGGCTCGAAAAATAATCAGTGGATGAGGATCAAAGGGGGGAAACTCCTGCCACTTCAATGCCTCCACCGAGTGCTACAAAAAAAAATGAGTTTCAATATTGAAATTGATATTTTCGGGCATCATCTTTCACATATTTCGGCAATTGAGGAATGCCAGGCTTTTGCTTTGGCTTCCAAGATCGTGTATATATATATGTTTATATATTTGGCCCAAAGCAGGGCAGACAAAGCTTATCCACTTAATCCACATAATGTTTAATGGATATCCACGAAAAAATTCACGTGCGCCACGAAAAACACTAAAGCGAACCAAGTTCGTTGCCCAAGTCTTTTGTTTCTATTTTGCGGTTTGCTTCTGCTTTTGCTTCTTACTTTTTATTATTTAACTTTTGATTGATATGGCAAATTCCCTGACCAAGGTGCCTTAAAGGTAAAAAATATAGGTACTATAATGTATGAGAATTTATTTCAAATTGTTTGCTGGCTTATTATAAAACAATAAAAATTTTAAATAAAAAGTTACCTATATTCAAAACGTTTTAGTTTTAGCAACTTAACAGAATTTTAAAAATATTAAACGCCCAAATATATATTCAAAATTTTTTAACGATTACCATTAACGATTTTGTTAGCAAGTTTATTTATTTTACTAAACAAATATTACTATCAGCCTTTAAATACAAATTCTGCTTAAGTGTTAAGATGTGAACATACTTAAAATTATACTTTTTTTTTTTTTAATAACCGGCAGAGCATTTAAATTTTCGTTGTTTATTTCTTGACATAATTTTCCAGACATTTTCCGTAAAGGAAATGTTAAATCGCAGACCCAACAGCAACAATAATAATTACAAATTATAATGCAGGTAACACGAAAAGCCAACAACCGTTATGTAAGCGCACTCGCTTCTCATGTTGCACTTGCAATTTTTGTTGCTGTTGTTACTAGACTGCACTAAACGCCAGCATTATCAAAATGTTGATAAACGTTTAGCAAAAAAGAGGGAATAATAGGCTGAAGGGGGGTTACAGGGGTGGAAATGGGTGGGGTCCTAAAGAACGTTGCTTTTATTCTTTAATTAAAATGCAAAAAGGCCAATTGCAAATGTGTTGCTGTTGCTGCTGCTGCTGCTTCTTCCCATGGTTTCTGCCGTTGCGCAATTAAAATGCAAACACAAAAAATAACCGACTAAAAAAAGAAAATGAAAGAGACAGCAGGCTCTAAAGAAAAAGAGAGAGGGCTACAGGCGCTGCACACTTAAGCATGTTTAATACAGTTTAGCCACAAGCACTTAATTACAAATGCGAATGTTAAAACTGCAGACGATGGTTTCACGGGGGGTGATACTATCTAAAACTATGGGGGAGAAGGATAGAGAGAAGGAGGGAAAGAGAGGGGGCGCTACAAGCTCCGCAAGTGTGGAACAGAAATTGCGGAAATGCTTCGAAAGTCAAACTTCTTCGGGGAACGGTTGTTAATGCATTTAAAATGAGGGGCGACCAAGGGGGTCGGTGGAGTGGGAGTTGCCCGGGAGAATGAGGAAGCCAGAAGGCGGAAGATGGGGCGTGGCCGGCTCCAGAAAGTGCCTCAGTTATTAGTGAAGCATTCAACAAAGTAAAACAGATTTCTTAAAGATTTTCAAGCTCAAGTGAGTTCAAAATGCACTGAAAGAGATTTACGAAAACTACTACATTTTAAATTCGGATATTATATGACTTAATTATGAGCAAATTTATACAAGATCTTAAATTTGTATAATATAATACAAAATAGTTTATATGTGAAACATGCATTTTTAATTTATAAAAATATTCTATGTGTAATTATAGAAATTTTTACTTTTGGTATCTTTCATAAGCAATTAAAAAAAATTCATTTTACCTTGTGTTTAATATTATATACAAATTATTATTATATTTTTTTACAAATATTGTAAGATACAAAAAAATCCACAAGATATGGTAAAGTACATAAACAATGACTTAACACTTGGATTTAAACTTCACTTCATTAAGCTAACTTATAAGCCAATAAATTATGGGTTGCATTGCTGTTGCTGAAATCGCTAGCGGCAATCTTCACTGTGCACATCCATCAATGTAATGCTGATAATTGTTTGTTGTTGTTGTTGTAATTTGTGCTCATAAACTGTTTAATTGCAAATTAGCAAAAGGTAGCTGCAGCAGCAGCAGCAGCAGCAACAACAATGTTGCCACATGCACATGTTGCTGCTGCTGTTGCTTCGGCTGCTGCTGCTCTTGCAAAGTTGCAACAGTTGCTGCTGTTGGTGCAGTTGATCTTGTTGCATGTTGGCCGGTCGTAAAAGAACAAAAAAAGCGCGTAAATGTTGCAGAAAATTGCAAATATATGAGATATGTCAGGGGCATTCTGCAAAAAGGGGCACAGACAATAGGCATCTTGTCGTATCTAAAAAAAATGCACAGGGCGAAATAATAATAAGGTGATGTAATGAAAATTTTATTTTTGATTGTTTTGTATAGTAATAATAGGCCAAGCATTGGTTTTTTATATTAGCCAAGAAAAAAATCGTGAATCATAAATTTTTTTAAATGGCCTTATTTTAGTTTTAATACTAAAAGTATTCAAATATTAAATTAAATGGCTAGAATTGGGTAAACTACTAAAGGAATGTTATCCATGAGTTTCATTTCTTCTTAATTATACGAAATATACTTATAAATTGCTATAAATAATTGTTAGGAAGTTCCATAACATTATTTCAGTAAAATTAAAATCGAAAGTTGAATTTTCACTAAAATTCGTTTATTTTTTCGCATATTTGCAGGCGGCAAGGACGACGACGGCGAGGATAGTTTGAAGAACGGCAGTTCGGCGAACGGCGACTCCTCGTCGCACTTGAGCTTGAGTCTCAGCAAAAAGCAGCGCAAGGCGCGTACCGCTTTCACGGACCACCAGCTGCAGACGCTGGAGAAGTCCTTCGAGCGGCAGAAGTACCTCAGCGTGCAGGACCGCATGGAGCTGGCCAACAAGCTGGAGCTGAGCGACTGCCAGGTGAAGACCTGGTATCAGAATCGCAGGTGAGCGGCTTGCTTTGTGGTTTTATGGGGCCGTGGAAAAGGGGGATCGCGGGGCGGGGGTCTGAGTGCCCGGTAATCAGCGCCTTTAATGCGTTGCGCCCATTTCTTCGCGCAGTTTTCCAATAAAAATCCTCTTAATGGCTGCTTTTCTTCCTTCAGTTGTTAGGTTTTTTTTTTGTTTTGGTATTCTGCATCCATCACCTTATCGGTGCTTGTGTTTTTTTATGCTGATTGCTTAATTTGCTGCATTTTGCCCGGCAATCGTTAAACAAGAATATATCTGCGTATACTGTGTTCAATAAATGAGTCGTCTGCTTTTTGCGTATTTTTCTCAGTGCAAGTTTGTTGCCTAAGTCTTTCGTTTCGATTGCCGCCTTATTACGTTCGATCGCGTTTTATTTTCGTTTTTAATTATTGCCCAATGACTTATCACAATTTCGAGCACAGAATGCTTACCACAACAATTGTGTACCGGGGGAGTAGTGGTGGCTGAGGAGATGAGGCGCTGAGGAGCAGCAGGCCAACATCTTGCTTGGCTGACGACGCAAAACGCAACCGGATATGACTGATGGCAGTGTGAATTCTCCAATGGGGTAGCAGGCTTTAGTTTATATTTTTAGACATCTTTTTTCTCCCAGTTTTATGTGTGAAATATATATGTGGCAGGGCTTAAACAACTAAATCTTTACATTTTCAAAGCACAGTTGGCATTAAGCAGCTTTTGCGGAAGTTTGCAAATTTATTTTGGTAAATAGCAAATGAACAGTTGTGTGTTTTGAATTTTATGTATATTTTTCGCAGAACTTTTTTAGACTTAAAAAAAATTGTTACTAGTAGTTGCGGTTAATACATTATGCTCATTAAAAAACAATATATTTGTTTAGTATTTGTATTGATTAAATGGAACCTTTTTTGGTTTATTGAATTGCTTTCTGTTCAATTAAATTCAATTCAATTTTGAAATTTCAGTATCCCTGCCAAAGAACAGTCTGAAATGCAATAAATATTTGGAAAAACAAACAGAAACCTTTGGCTGTCATAACCTCGCCCAAAGTCAACTCATGATATTTCCCATTAGGCCAAAACACTTCACAGCTGCTGCTCGAACCTAACGATGAATGGGCAAAAATTGTAAAAAATAAACGATCCCGACCTGGTTCTAGTTCTAGTTTCGGTCGAGGTCCTGGCGCCTCGAACAATTAAGGGATTTGCCAAAAAAGAAGGGCGGGTCGCTGCCAATTAGGCCTCAGTTTTCGGTTTTCAGCTTTCGGCTTAGAGTATTTCCAATTTCTTTTAATTTTATTATTTTTTTGGTGGGCTGGCACAAGATTAATGACAAAACAATTAAGTGCGAAATATAAACAGTCGGGGCGGAATCCTTGAGGCCGCGCGGCGGGATATTATGGGATGAGAAGAGGCCTCGAGTGACTCGGCACTACTGGGCCATGATTAATTGAGAGGACGAGGATGAGGATGAGGACTCAAACCCAAACTCGAACTCGATGACTTCCTCTGCTTCTAACGCTCGCTTCCTCAAAACACTCGAGCTAAAAGATTAAAGAATTAGGAATAAGGCGCTAAAAAAAACATAGTGAACAAATATTTGTCTGGCAGGAGTTTATTCTTTTAGTTGCGAAACTTTAACCTGCATCAGTTAGTTAATGTTTCCTGTATAACTATTTTGTAGTATTTTAATTTATTTTATTTTTTTTAATTTATCTTTTGTATTAGTTTATTTTTAATGTTATAAATTTTATAAATTTTTTTTTAACTAAATAATTGTTTATAAATTTATTTCGATTAAAAAAGAGCTATAGACTAAATGGTTGGTTTTTATTCTCTTATTGCAGAACCAAATGGAAGCGTCAGACGGCGGTGGGTCTGGAACTGCTGGCCGAGGCGGGAAACTACGCGGCCTTCCAGCGGCTGTATGGCGGTGCAACGCCCTATTTGAGCGCCTGGCCGTATGCGGCCGCCGCTGCCGCCCAATCGCCCCACGGCGCCCCGCCCTCCGCCATCGATATCTACTATCGCCAGGCGGCGGCAGCCGCCGCCCTGCAGAAGCCCGCCCTGCCCGCCTCGTACCGTATGTATCCGACGAGCATGCCGCCGGGAATGGGGCTGCCCGGGATGGCCGGAATGCCCGGCATGCCCGCTCCCCCGCCCCCCGGTGCCGCGCCCATGCTAAGCGGCTACTATGCCGCTGCGGCGGCGGCGGCAGCTTCCGCTGGCGCTGCACAGCAACAACAGCAGCAGCCGCCGGCGGCGTCCCGCTCGCCAGCCACCAGCCAGAGCGCCAACAGCGAGGCGGACTGCGAGCGGACCAGCAGCAGTAGTCGCCAGCGCTTGGTCACGCCCAGTCCGCCTCTCAATCCGGGTAGTCCGCCTGCGCGGGAGCGGCTAAACGAGGAGGAGGGGGAGCGGGACAGGGAGCGGGAGCGGGACAGAGAGCGTGAGCTGGAGGATCGGGAGCGGGAGCGGGACGAGGAGGACGACGAGGAACTGGCCCTGGAGGTCTGAGGATCCCCGAGAGAAACGCCTCCTTCTCACAGCTGGATCTCACAAATTTGTCTAAAGAAATAATATAGGGGTGGTGTTCAAGACCTATGAATTATGGTGGACATCTTTTGGCAAAAGTTGTAATTCAAATTGTTTTTAAAATACAACAGTATACAATGAAATCAAAACATGGACAATGGGCTTAGATTTTCAAAAAAATTCAGCTGTGTTAAAAATAAACGTTTAGTTTTGTTTATATTTTTCTAAAAATAAAATCCTTTAAAAACTTCTTAAATTAAAAAAGTATCCAGCAATTTTACAAATAACAATTCAGGATTTTTCTGAATTTCCTTGAAGTTAATAATGTGACTGTTATTTTAACACAGCTTAATGTTTGCTAAGAAAAGGGAAAATCATCTCGGAACTGCCACTGAAATTGTATTTAAAAGTTCTCCATAAAATAAAAAAGTTTGTGGTAAAAATAATTCACCTAAAAATGTAATTCAAAATTGTAAAAAGTCAACAAAGAAATAAGTATAGAATTACAAAAGAAGTAACAGTATTAGACAAGCCCCCATGTTCATCTGTCTTTAAGAATAACCCCCAGTAATTGTGAAGAAATATATATATAAACATATATGTCAACCATTTTTTTTCTATATTTAATTAAACCTAGCCTAGAGGAAATTTTGTACATTTTTGTAAATTATTTTTTGTACATACGCAGCAGACCAACAACAAAAACAAAAGCAACAACATTTTTTTTTCCAAACAATATTTTTTTTACCATTTTTTTTGTGCCTAGTCTTAAGACGTCTATTGTGTGTAGTAATAATAAAAGCGAAGAAAAAAGAGCAATCAAGAGTTGGGTTTTGTTTTGCGTCGGACTGAAGGACTCGCTGGCTGAAGGACCTTTTTGCCATCCTGATTCTGATTCTCATTCTGATTCTGAGCCTAATGCGAGCTGACACACGAGCCGAAAAGTCGCAGTCGAAATCTCAAGGGGTCGAACGCAACTCGATAGGGGCCCTCGAGGAACTGTTGCATTTTGGCCTGGGAAGCGGCCACTAAACTGCTCACTTAGAAATTGTTAACATTTGCCAAGGGTCCTGGTCCTCATCCTCATCCTCTTCCCGGATTTCATCAAGCTCCTGGACGAAGCCCTGCCAAGAAGTGAGCCCCACCCCAGTGGCAATCGTGATTCCGCTTCCGATTCCGCAAAGACGCCGCTCGCCGTTCGCCGTTCGAGTGGCGAAACGTTTCTAATTGACTTGCCGGAATCGGAACCACCCTGCATGGAAATCAGCCCTCTAGAGATGGCCGCGTGAGGCCCATTGGGGTTAATTGCTGGCTGACATTTTCTTAAAACTATTTTTCTCGTTAAAACAGTCAATACTAGCAAGTTGAAGCCAAAAATCTATCAGTATTATTATAATTTTAATGATTTTTAAAAGCATTTTTATAGATAAGAATAATTTGTGTAGCTGTTAAAAAAAGTAATTGAAAAAAAAATACACATGTTATTAAACTTAATGATTTTATATTGAAATCTTTTAAATATTATGGAAAATATTACATTTAAAATGGTTTAATTTAAATTCACTATAATTAAGTTTAATTTTAAATTAATCTTTCAAATAATAAAATCTGTTCTAAAAATAGTTCAATTAAAAATATAAAAAAGGACGTTATAACTAAAAACCGGATTAGATGATAAAAATCAAAGCGAAACATATTTAAACTGGGTAGAAAATACTTGGACTTACCTGTTTTTTTTTCAGCAGTGCAAAGAGCTGCTACAGTTGGATACAAAACTAGTAAAAAACAGCCTTTTCCTTTAACATCCCAGGACACGAAACCATCTCTAGCTGGTAAGAGAATCTACCCCGTTGCTGTTTGTTTTGCCTGTTTACATGCCGCTTGCCATTTTCGCTACTTTTATGACAATCTCAATTTCTGCACAGCGCCGCCTTGGTTAATGTTTTAATTTATGGGGTTGCGGCTAAGCGAATTCAATTTGCGCTGCCTTCGAGTGGCACACACACAACCCCTTGCAGGGGATATGTGTGTTCCGTTCCTTCGATCCTTATTCCAATGCTGATCCCGATTCTCAGCCCAACTGGCATCAATGTCGACTTTGGGACTGCGACTCTGCGTGAAGTGGCTGCGTCGTCATCCAAGTCAAGTGTCGAAGGGTTTTCGGACGGGATTTGTGCGTAGAGACGGCCATCGAAACGTCTGCATAACGCCTCTGTAACAAATTGATTATTCGCCGCTGCGGTTTGAATACAATTTTTTTTCGCATCGATTTGAAATTTTTATGAGTACCCAGAGAGCGACGAGTTCGAGTGCGAGTACTTATAAATTTATGAGTGGCCCGTCAAATCGTCAGACCGTGCGAAACTTTTCACTGAGAACGCGGCCAGGACTTTTTGGCCAGTGGGAGGCTATAACCTAATGGCTGGTGGTGGTGGAAATTTGCATATTTTTGTTGTCATCCCACGGCTGATTGGGCAAACAAAGTGGATCCATACCATAGCTTCCCCCAGCTAATCCCACAAATAGAGTTCGGTGTGCAGGAAATATTGTTTCTATCACTTGCGGTTATGGATAGCCGACAATTTGTTGACGAGATTTTAAGATTATTAATAGGCTAAAAGTTAGAAACTATTTAAATTAAAGATACCAGGAGACATTCTTTATTATTATTGATTAACAAAAAACTATAAACTTTTATTGCATTATATAAATTAATATACATAACTAAATAAAAAATATATTTCCTGGAACTTTCATATTCATAAAGTAATTAAATTGTGTGTTTTTTTTTAACTTTTTATAGTTTTTACTTTAATTAATGAGCTTAAATTCTAAAAGATCTATTCAATTTGTTCAATTATCTTCGAATTTTTAACGACTTTTTGGGATTTGAAAAAATTTTTAAAATACAAAACAAACTATTCAGTTTTGCAGTAAGTTCCGCTTAAAATAAATGTTTACGAGCTTCTTTGGTATGTAAATATTTGCTTACAAGGGGTTCAAATTTTCGCCCCATTTCCCCGCAACAATATATTTGTAGAAATCACAACAACATAAATTTAAATGGTTGTGCAATTCGTTACGCATTTTTGTCCATTTAGGGTTAATGTTCTCGATACGATATCTATGTGATGTGTAGAACAGATAATATCATGAATTTAAATAGCTCACTTTGATTTTATCACTCATTTCCATGATTGAGTCCATTGTGCGACTCCATTTGCCGCATTTGGCGAGCTTGGCGAGCTTGGCGAGTTTTGTGTCTTTTGTGCATCCGAGCTGACAAAGTGCTTTCACACCGGAAGCAATTGCAATGCGTTCGCCGTCGTCCTTGTCACCCAGCCACCCAACCACCCAAACACCCAGCCACCCACTCTTCATCGCCCGTCTTTCCCCAGTTAATTGACAACTTTCTGGCCAGGGTGCGCCTTGAGTTCGTCCGCCTTTTTTTATCCCATCCTCGAGCGACTTCTTTGTGAGGCTAATTTGTCACAGGATGCCAGGATGATGTCAGGATGTGAGGATGCGAGGATGCCAGGATGCCGGGATTAAGGATGGAGCAGGCGATGCTGCTTCATTACACAGGCGATTTGTTGCGCACAAAGCGAACGCTGAGCTGAATCGATGGGAATATAGTTAGTACTACGTACACTTAGCTAAAAGGTGGTACATAATTATTTAAAACATTAAACAATCTAAAAAATAGAAATATATCCTTGGTTCTTAATTATTTAAAATATTAATAAATATAAATAATTTTCATTTACAAATTGTATTTATTTTTTTATGTAAGCATTAGTAAATATATTAAATATATATAAATATCACATTTTTTTACCATGTACCCACATGGAATAATCAAGGGGAGTATGAGATTTTGTTAGTTTCCGTTATCAATAAATTTGTGCGCTTAAATGCGTGTGTTTATCGAATTAGATGGCCGGAGGTCAGGAAGTCGGAAAGTCGGGGAGTCAATGGAGATTTATGGGCGCAGCGGGGTCAAAAGGGGTGGAATCAGGGAGGGGGGGATGCAAGGTTGTGTCAATGCCGAGAGTTATTTCTTCATCGGATCCGATGCCGATGCCTTTAAATTACTGTAAATGGGCACCGTGGCGCCAGGGATCAGAAAAATCGATTTGTCGGTCGTCGCCGCCAGTTAAACGCTGCCAATTTGCCGCACTGCCCTCTGGAGCTCTGGAGCTCCGTAGTTTTCCCCTGATGAACGACGGCCCAGGCCCAGATCGCCTTCAAACCCATCGCGAGCATGGACATGGACCACTGGCGGCTACTGGTTTTGAACCTGCCACTGAAAATTCGAAGCCAACAACTGATGCCGCCGGCCCAATTTGCATGCGTTCGATTTGCAATTCGCTCTGCAATTGCATTTGCGGTTTTCGGTTTTCTGTTTTCGGTTTTTCAATCAATTCTAACTGTGCAAACTGCAAAAGGCAATCATCAGTCTGCGCCTGAAATTTACGGCACCTACATCCACTAAACTAGGATGATATCCTGGAAAACATATATATTTAATATATTTACAGACTATCATCTTTTAAAATAAACTATAAACATATAAAAAAATGAAATCTATAATAAACTAAATAACCATTATGCTTTGCCCAAAAGATTGCTAATTATCTTACCGTCGTTATACCATATACCATTAGAGTTGAGATGAAAGGCCCCGCATACCCTCTATAGGGTATCAAAAACTTTATTTCGCCGCCTTGGTGGGGCACACGCCAATGTCAAAAGGTTCTCACAGCCGAGCGACGACGATGATGATGATGCGATGATGATGGCTAAAAAAGGCGATCCCATACGTGGCGATGTGATATGGCAGAAAGCCGATACTTTCCTGGTCTGGAAGTATTATTTGCAGACAGTATATTTTCCTTTATTTTTTTGGGGCCAAGTGCCGTTAGCCGAGCGTGTGTGTGGTCCCAGGATTTATATACACAACTAAGTGTGTGTGTATGTATGTATATGCCCGAAAGGCGCCAAAAGTCAAGCTTTTGTTTGGCCAGGTCGAGAGTGTGGCACGTGGCCATAAAAATTCGAGTAAACTCGCACCAACCGGGGTTCCTCTCGGTAGTTTTCATTTTCTGAATTTTTGGGGGGCAACTGAAGTGTGACTAAACTGCGCCCGCGGCCATGTAAATCGTAAATGGTGCACAAATACTAAAAGCAAGTCCTGCCGCCTGTCAGTCATTCAGTCATTCAGACGTTCAGTCATTCAGTTACCCGGCCAGAGGTCCTGCTGAATGGACCTCAAGCTGTGCGGAAAACAAAGGCCGCGGAAAGCAAACAGTTGCCACATCGGTATCCAATTACGGAATCGACTTTGCCCCCGACTTCGACTGCGACTCGAGTTGAGCCAATTTACGGGCACAATTGTGCCAAGTCAAGGTCCGCGAAGAAACACAAAAACTAAAACACACAAAAAAAGGCAACAGCAGGCCCAATAAGTCGGCACGCAAAAGGGCCAAAGGCAAAAAGGACCGTCGAGGGTTGATCGATCGGCGGGGTGGGGGAAAACGGATCAGAGTACTTAATGTAATTTTAATTTTCAATACTGTTTGTATAATGCAGAGCATTGCGAACACTATTTTACAAAGTCTCCAATTAAAAAAATTA